CAATAGATTTAACTACGTCTCCATCAATTAAAAATAATACTACTAATAATAATAATAATGTGTGCATAGAAGGTTGCTTATTTTTCACTTGATTTCTTTTATAAGCAATATTTCTCAATCAATATCATCGATATTTTCGTTTAAACAGCATGTAGCCTTCAATGCTTTAAATAAATAATAAAGTCATTTAATTGAATTGAATTTTTTTTTTTAAATAATTAAATAAATTGGAAAAATAGTTCAAACTGAATTTTGCTGTGGTACCGAAATTGGTACCGAGAACCGTAAAATTTTAATGGTATCGGTACCGACTACTGAAATTTTGGTACCGTGACATCCCTACCATGGAGGAATGGATAACACTCACCATAGGATGTGGTGAACAGATGGGACATGCTGAAACGATGTGTCCACCAGCGCCGCAGTACAGGCACAGACCCTGAGTCAGCCTCCTCTGTCGCTCCATGAGCGTTAGGCGGGTGTTATCCACTTGCATGGCAACTGGTTCTGGAGTGCTGGTAGAAAATGTGATGGCCGGCCATGTAGATATTCCATGAAGGGTGCGGATGGCGAGCTGCATAAACCGTTCAATACCCATGAGCTCGTCGTATGCAGCGAGATGCAGTCGTAGACGTGGATTAAGTCCCTGTCGATAGGTGGTGAGGAGCGAGTGCTCATTCCATCCACTGGCGGCCGCTAGAGTCCGGAACCTGATGGTGTAATCTGAGACGGTCTCTTTCTCTTGATATAACTGCTCACTGACGGTAGAATCACCATCTGGAATTCCAAAAACCTCACGGAAGTAAGTGGTGAAGTTACTCACAGAAGCGTAGAGGTGGCATTTCGGAGGATTCGGGCCCAATTGAGAGTTCGCCCTGTCAGCAGGGAAATAATAAACGCCACCTTAGATCTCTCAGTGGGGAAGCGGGACGACCAGTGAACTCTGAAGAATCGCAATCCTCCGCCAAGCCAGAGTAGGGCGCCGGGTTGGCCCCGGGACCGGAGGGCACTGGGGGTGAAGGAGAGGCGGTGATGGATGGTGCAGAAGTGGTCACAGAGAGTGTACGTTTGAGCACATCCACAATATCCTGAAATGGATCGGGAGAACTCATCTCGGCAGTGTTGGTCTGGTCTTCTGTAACGAAACAGACACTCCAAACAGGAAGATGGAGATGAGTATTCAGAAGCAGCGATAGGAACTGTAGTGGATGAATAACAATGAAGGATGTGGAACAGGAGATACTGACTGTGCTTGAAGATGATGGATGAAGCCATGGAAGATGAAACACACACCGGTGTTGGGAGAGAGGTGAGTATACACACGCACGATGATCGAGACGAAGAGGATGACGAACTGGGAGACACAAACTGGAAGACGAAGTTACTTTGTAGAGATTGCATAGAAGGTAAGCGGTGAAGCTTCAAGAGTCCTACTCATTTAAGAGACAAGACAAAGTTCCAGAGTGCGGTGTGTGCTTACTCTGTGTGTTTGTGGTGATGGGCAGATAGCGATCTCAGTGATTGAGTGGAGGTGGAGCCTGGCTGATCCCTGACAAGTAGAAAGACTGAAATAGTATTTTCCTGTCGAACGTACTCCAATAATCTTAGTTTTATTCATAACTTCGAAAATCTTTTTTTTTCTTTTCAGTGACACTACTAAATATTTTATCAGAAACATTTTGAGCAACAACAACAACAAAAAAAAATCAGTAATGAGTGGGAAAGTCATTAAACTCATTGATTAAAAAGAACCCTGACATTTCTGTAATCCTGACATTTTATTATTTTAATTCTTAGTATTTAAGTTTCTTTTTTAAATACATAAAGTTCTCTCCATACATGTTTGGAAAACAAAACCGGGGCCTTTTAAAATGTTGTGGCCAGTGAGAGGCCTTTAGTTAGAAGTATATAAAAAGTTTATTTCATAATTTTGTTAGATTTTATTTTCATTGGATACATTTATTGATAATGGTCTTATTATCAATTAAATCAAATTAATTAAACATTTTTATAATAATAATTTTACCATTTTTTATCATTAATTTATTGGCGTTTCATGGATCCTTTAATTTATTTATATTTATATATAGCCTAATTATAGAATATATATTTGTAGAAAAGTTCATTCATATACAGGTGAAACTCGAAAAATTAGAATATCGTGCAAATGTTAATTTATTTCAGTAATTCACTTAAAAGATGCAAACTAATATATTATATAAACTCATTACATGCAAAGTGAGATATTTCAAGCCTTTATTTGTTATAATTGTGATGATTATGGCTTACAGCTTATGAAAACCTTTTCACAATATTCTAATTTTGAATTTGGGGTTTTCATAAGCTGTAAGCCATAATCATCACAATTATAACAAATAAAGGCTTGAAATATCTCACTTTGCATGTAATGAGTATATATAATATATTAGTTTTTCATCTTTTAAGTGAATTACTGAAATAAATTAACATTTGCACGATATTCTAATTTTTCGAGTTTCACCTGTATATATATATATATATATATATTGAGATAGATAAACAGATATAGAAATGGACATATATATATATATATATATATATATATAGTGAGTCAAAAAGGTTTAAAAAAAAGTCCCCTTGGATGTTAAACAAAAACTGCATGCGAAACTATGCAGAATATGAAACAGATATGAACTCATGTTCACTTCATAATCAGTGGCTAATTTACTATTTTAAATGGACCATGAGCTTCACCGAAGATATCATAACATCGTGTGCCTGTCATATGCAGGCATGTTTCTCACGACCTTCAGTTTCACAATAACAAACGGTTATTGGTCCTCATGTTGCGTCTTTCTACACGAAGAACAAGATAAAGATTCTGCCTCAACATGTCCTGATAATCCCCAGCCCTTCATTAATCCTTCATCATCAACTCACAGTCACAGTCACTCAGCCAGTGAGTCACTGGATATGCAAATGCACACAGAAGCAGAGCATGTCCAGAAGCATATGTGCAATAAAGATTCACAATAACATCACTGGAAGTTTGAAACCGACAACTATCAAATATACATTAAGAATATTGACTTTATTCTCTTCTAAACCACTATATGGCATAGAAATGCAGCTCGTTTTCTTAATGATGCACGTGGAAATTTGGCTGATCCTAATTTGATTCAGCAAATGAAAATCAATAACATAATGACTATATTTTGAGACAAAGGTCTTGTTCAAGGTAAATAAAGCAACAGTTTTTCAATGACTGATGAATATGTAAAGGTATGGCATTTCGGATCAAAAGTTACAATAATTACCATGATAATAAACAACCGGCTGATGTTCACATGATTAGATTCAGATGGGAAATATTATAATATATAAGTTGGGTGTCCATGTTAGAGATAATCTCCATATTCATAATGAAACTGTCTGATATGAATCATATCATATAATAAAATATACTTATTAAAATATTATGGGATCTCATTCAATGCTTTCAGAATGTTCACTTTTTAAAATAATTTTGTTTCTGTATTGATAAAATGAACATATTTTATTGACAGTATTGAACAAAAATGTATTAATAGATCATTTTTTTGTTCAAAACTGTAAATAAAATATGTTCAAAATAAATAAATCAAAAAAGTTTGTACTATTTCTGGGTTTATCTTGATAAAATAATATATAAAATGTATATATTCTTATCCAGATTGAAATAATACAAACTGTTTTGATTTATTTCACACTAAATCTGTTGCTCCGTCAATGCTCAATAAAAACATATTGCGCAATCATACACACGGCTGAACCCTATAAATTAAAACATCAACACGGCCTGCTGCATATTTCACCAGCACTGTCATCTGCACGCTTTTTACTGCATATGCATCATATTTCTATCTGTTAGCACCATCACATGTTATGACACGAAATCAAACTCTTCAACTCTTCACTGAACACATGTGTCTACAGCGGGGCATGTTGTCACTCCTGCCATTAAACACGCAATTATAGACCGTACACTTTCAGCAAAGTTCAAACAACAAATTAGCATTATGAAACAGATATTCCAGAAAAATATGCACATTACGTTTTGATACATTTTCTAACACCATACAGAGATATCGAGCGTTTAACTCAAAATCCTGAGAGATAATCATAATCATCCTCGCCTTCAGACGCGTGTTTCAGTGTTAAAGTGTGTGTCAGTCTTACCCGCGCAGAGTGTGTGTGTGCACATGTCCGTCTGTCCGCGTGCGTCAGCTTCATAAAGTTGTGAAAACGTTATTTCTGAATGTGTTCTGAATGTGTTCTGAGCGCTGATGGCGCGCATGCGCAGAGCGTAGATCAGAATGAACCGCGCAGGCAGTGTTTTATTCATGCTCGCCTGTGTTTATTTCTTATGCATTCATATTCTCTTTCTTTAATGAACGCATGATCCGCTCGTCATCATCAGTGTTTTTCTAGTGCAATGATTTATGAGTCAAATTCAGACTCACAGCGGGTTGTATATTTAACTCAAGATTCAGAATAATCTGTTTCAAAGCCATAATGAACCATGCTGTATAATACATGTGACTCTCTCTCTTTTAGAGTGTCTCTGTCTGTGTGTTTATGGGGTGCAGGGCTGGTCACCATGGCGACCACAAGCAATGGAGAGGCTGATGAAGGAAAGCGTCTCTCCTTCTCTCTTCTCTCATCTCTTCTCTCTTCTCATCTCTCTCTCTCTCTCTCTCTCTCTCTCTCTCTTCTTCTCTCTCTCTCTCTTCCTCTCTCTCTCTCTCTCTCTCTCTTCTCTCTCTCTCTCTGTTCTATCAGCAGCAGCGCGTGCAGATGTGTGTTATCTCTTGTCCTCTGGAGATGACAGCCGGATCTGGATCTGCTGGGTTTAGTGTTCTCTGATGGCCTGTGTTTGCGGAGATGACGCGTCGCGTTGCTGTGCGTCTTGTCGTCGCGTGTTTGACGTCGCGCTGATTCTGCCCTGTTCTCACACACTGTGCCGCGCGCTGCCTGGCGAGGGGGCGGGGCCTGTGCGGGGACGGGGGCGTGGTCAGGGGCGTGGCCTCCGCCTCTCGTCCAATCTGTGCCGTTCTGTGTCCGAACTGTCGTCACAGCGTCGAGCTGCCCTGCTTTGATTGGTCGTCTGCTTTGACCTGTCTGCCTTTGACCCCACAGTGACCCCTGACCCTAAAGCGAGCGAGGAGACGGGTGAGTGACGGGATACTATTTCCTACTATTTCCAGTGTGAAAGCAGTGACTTGTTACTGCATAAAAAACACCCTTTACTGTGGTAAAAACACCCCTTTACTCGTGGTAAAAACACCGGTTCCCTCAATCTATCTCTTTAAACATTAGTATTTTGAATCAGTTTATCTATTCATTTTGTTCTTTTCTCTTATTGTTTTCTGTCATTGCCGTCTCTGTCCTTTAGATGGCAGTGTAGATCTTTCTGAAGAGGAAATGGAGAGATCAGTTACAGGTAGGCCGTTCATACTGTACACTACTGCATACTGCACACTACACACTGCATACTGACACTGCACACTACACACTGCTTAATGCACACTACACACTGCATACTGACACTGCACACTACACACTGCTTAATGCACACTACACACTGCATACTGACACTGCACACTACTGCACACTACACACTGATACTGACACTGCACACTACACACTGCTTAATGCACACTACACACTGCATACTGACACTGCACACTACACACTGCTTCAATGCACACTACACACTGCATACTGACACTGCACACTACACACTGCTTAATGCACACTACACACTGCATACTGACACTGCACACTACACACTGCTTAATGCACACTACACACTGCATACTGACACTGCACACTACTGCACACTACACACTGCATACTGACACTGCACACTACACACTGCTTAATACACACTACACACTGCATACTGACACTGCACACTACACACTGCTTAATACACACTACTAACTGCATACTGACACTGCACACTACACACTGCTTAATACACACTACACACTGCATACTGACACTGCACACTACTGCACACTACACACTGCATACTGCACACTACACACTGCATACTGACACTGCACACTACACACTACTGCACACTACTGCACACTGCTTAATGCACACTACTGCACACTACACACTGCATACTGACACTGCTCACTACACACTACTGCACCCTACACACTGCATACTGACACTACACACTGCACACTACTCACTGCTTAATGCACACTACATACTGCATACTGACACTGCACACTACTGCACACTACACACTGCATATGCACACTACACACTGCAATACTGCACACTACAGCACACTGCACACTACACACTGCATACTGACACTGCACACTACACACTACTGCACACTACACACTGCATACTGCACACTACAGCACACTACACACTACTGCACACTACACACTGCATACTGACACTGCACACTACACACTACTGCACACTACACACTGCATACTGACACTGCACACTACACACTGCATACTGCACACTACCACACTGCATACTGACACTGCACACTACACACTACTGCACATTACACACTGCATACTACACACAACACACTGCATACTGACACTGCACACTACACACTGCATACTGCACACTACACACTGCATACTGACACTGCACACTACACACTGCATACTGCACACTACTGCACACTACACAACTACTGACACTAGCACACTACACACACTGCACACTACCACTGCACTACATACACTACACACTACTGCACACTACACACTGCATACTGCACACAACACACTGCATACTGACACTGCACACTACACACTGCATACTGCACACTACACACTGCATACTGACACTGCACACTACACACTACTGCACACTACACACTGCATACTGCACACAACACACTGCATACTGACACTGCACACTACTGCAGTCTGCAAACTGCACACTACACACTGAATAGTGCACACGTCACACTGTTACTAGAGATGCGCGGATGGGCTATTATTTCATCCGCAACCGCATCACAAAACTCATCAATCCGTCCGACCAATTTTCGACCAAACGCACCCGCCCGCCATCCGCTGATTGGGCGAGACAAGGCGCTGCTGATGACAGCCGCGAGGACTAGAAAGCTCTCAGAATATCAGCAGTGAACTTCGTCTCCGATCGGCGCGCAGGGACAAAAAAAGAAATAAATAGCCTATAAATAACGGAACTTCGGCAAACCTGACCTTATCTTATTTTCATTGTAGCCTAATAGAAAACGCATTTTGGCACATAATTTCAACATGCTGCTATTGTATGGGGCGCCGTTTGTAAAGCGGCTCACGCTGAAAATAACAGCAACATTTTGTCACATTTAGCTTCAAATGTTTAAAAAAACTGGTAATCACATCACACACTTGTGATGCACCATATTAAACGTAGCCTACCAGTCTTGTGGCTGTCATGAACATATCTGCTTCGCTTGGTAATCTGCTTGGTTTTGCTAATTACATAGCCTGCACTGGTGTCATCCTGATTTACCACTTTGTAAAACTTATTCCAGGCAACACTTTTCTGACCTTCTATTTCCTTTGTTTTTAATTCTCCTATTTTGAGTTTGTCATACACCTCCTTCGCCGGCGTTGCCATCTCTGATAATAACAAGCAGTCTCTGCATAGACTCGACTAGCTGCCTGATGAAAATTTGACAAGTGTGCTCGTTTTTTTTTTGGATGTAGGTATAGTCACATAACAATATTTAACAATGTATAACATATATTTTTCATTTGATTGTTCAACCGCCCGCCACCCGCCCGAATTTAATAAAAATATTTTTTTTCGTCATGTCATCCGCGGTTTATCCCGGGAGTCCGTGGCTGTAACCGCCAACCGCGCATCTCTACTGCTTACTGCCACACTACACACTGCATAGTGCACACTATGCACTCCACAATCACACTGAGATTTTGCACACTATACACTGCACACTACACACTGGCATACTGCACACTACACACTGCCCAGTGCACACTATGCACTCCACAATCACACTGCGTTTTGCACACTATACACTGCACACTACACACTGCATACTGCACACTACACACTGCCCAGTGCACACTATACACTCCACAATCACACTGCGTTTTGCACACTATACACTGCACACTACACACTGCATACTGAACACTACACCACTGCATACTGCACACTGCACACTGCCCAGTGCACACTATACACTGCACAATCACACTGCGTTTTGCACACTATACACTGCATACTACACACTACATACTGCACACTTCTTTAAGGCTTGACGTTGATTAGTCGTTGATCATGGCCTACAGGGGCGGAAAGTCAAAATTATGACATACTAAATCTGAATTATGTATAAAATAAAGTTTTATCATAAGTTTTACATTTAGTTATAATTAATTAAAACTTTTTAAGTTATGTCATAAATATGACCCTATTAAATCAGAATTTCGACTTAGCTTGTCATAATTTTTACATATTGTCATAAATTATGACATTTTATGATTTATAAAAGCAAGATTATTTTTCCTGTGTGGAGGTGTAAATGCACTTCCAGTCTTCTCTCATATATCTGTGTAACTGACGTCTGCAGGTCTGGTGTTCGCTCTGGATTCGTCGCGCTCTGATTCGCCGCTTCGCCTCTCAGGCTCCGCCCTCTTCCGTAAGCATCACGGGTCAGGTGTGCTGTGAGGATGGGCAGAACGACCCGCCTCCACTGCCTCAGGTGTGTGGGAGCGTGAGCGTCTCCAGAGGACAGTATTACTGGGAGATCGACGTCCTGCAACAGCGCCCTCTATAGGATCGGTAAGAGAGGAGACGTTGCTCATGTATATGCAGAGAATATTTTGATAAATAAAACAAATGTAGCCCTTGCTCTTCTACTCATCTTTCCTTCGGTCATTTTGACCCGGAATATATATATTTTTTTAAATGTAGTCTTCATCAGAGAGGTCCAAGACCCATAACTTTTGTCGCACTTGAACCACGAATACACAAAAAAAGGATGTGTTACAGAACGCGGGGGAAGGATGAGGCATTGTGCTGTTATAATTCATATAAGTGTGATTGGTTCTTTCCTCAGGTGTGATATCATCATGTGATGGGCGTGGCTGGTGGTTGGAGAGCGTGGCCTAGCGTTTCACGCGGTGTTTGACGGACGCCGTGAGCTCCTCCCCTTTATTCCTCCTCAGCTGAAGACAGTGGGCGTGTTTCTCAATGTGGGCGGAGCTTCAATCACCTTCACAATCCTGTCACTCAAGAGTTTTCTTGCCGCTGTCCCCTCCCACTTTAGTGTTCCTCTCCGTCCTGCTCTCCAATTGGGCCAGGGAAGACTCAAGCTCCGCCCCAGCCTGCCGCCGCCCAATTCACGTGTTTCTCAGCCCCAGCTCCACCTATCGGGGGCCAGGAGGGGCGGGGTCTGGGCGCTGGAGGCGGGGCCTTTCGTTCGGGTCGTGAGGGCCGTGGTTCAGAAGTTCGAGGAGATGTCACCCGTGTCGGACTCAGACTCGGGTCTCGTTTCCAGTGTGGGTCACTGTCTGAACACAACACCAGTACAGAATAACAACATCAAGAACATTAATTGACGTCTAGCTTCTGCTGGGGAAGGATTTTTCTACTGTTATGTACTTATATTCAGTGTTCCTTTCGAATGATGATTGAGAATTAAACACTTGGACTGAAACACTATACATGCTAAATAAATACTGATATACACTCCCAATCAAAAGTTTTGGATCAGTAAGATCGTTTTTTAAAAGAAGTCTGCATTTATTTGATTAAAAATACAAAAAACAAAACAGTAATAATTGTGAAATATTATTCCAATGTAATCAAGCTGTTTTCTATGTGAATATACAGTAAAGTGTAATTTATTCCTGTGATCAAAGCTGTATTTCCAGCATCATTACTCCAGTCTTCAGTGTCAACATGATCCTTCAGAAATCACTCTAATATGATGATCTGATGCTCAGAAACATTTATGATTATGATCAGTTGAAAACAGTTATTTACAGTTTTTTTTTAGGATTCTTGATGAATAGAAAGTTCAAAAGAACAGCATTTATCTGGAATAGAAGCTTTTGTAACATTAAACACTAACGTTCAACAGTTTGGGGTCAGTAAGAATTATATTTTTGGGGGAAATAAATAAAATAAATCAATACTTTTAAATTATCAAGGATGAATTAAACTGATTTATAATGTTTACTGTCACGGTGTGGAGCAGGTGAAGAGGAGGCCGAGTCAGAATCTCCAATTCCAACATTTACTAGTATTTCTCACAGGTACAAACAGGCAGGCTCAGGATTACACTCACATCCAACACAACTAAATAAGACTAACGATCGACCAGGACAGACTGAACAGGAAGGAACTAAATACAAGCACAAATGAACACTAACCGAAGTGAAGACAGGTGACACAGATGATAATAACGAGGAACAGGCTGGTAAGTGAGGGAGTGAGTTCAGGTGTGGAGACAAGGAGGATTCCTGGGAAGTGTAGTGAAGAGACAAGGACTGGTGCAGACGAAGACTGTGACAGTTACAAAGATTCTATTTTAGATAAATGCTGTTCTTTTGAACAAAACAAATAAAGAAAAAATCAAGGAATCCTGAAAAAAAATGTATACTGATGATAATCATAAATGTTTCTTGAGCATCAAATCATCATATTAGAATTACATATCTTATAAAAAGATATAGAAAGATTATTTAGATACTAAGATACTTAGAAAGATATATCTGACAAACATTTCAGAAGAGATCTAAATGTGTCTCAAATCATTGATGTATTATAGTTTTTGTTACTATTTTTAATTGCGAATTTATTTTATATTTTATTAGTATATATAAATATATATATATATATATATATAATAATAAGGTTTTTATGATTTTTTTTTTATTTAGTTGTAGTTAATTTGGTTCTTCAAATTAAACTAAATGTTTTAGTAATTTTTTTGTGGTGTTTTTATGTCATTTTTATTAGTTTTATTCGTCGTTAATAACTGGATCTGAGCGGCTCCACACTCATTTATAGCTCTTTATCTTATTTCATGACAATTATTGACTCATTTGTGTCTGTTTTTATTTCTCACAAAGAATTCCAGGAAAAACATCTGAGACAAAGTTGATATTGAAATGAGATGTGTCATCGATGCAAATACTGAATAATCTGGTGAATCTTCAATCGCACCTCCTTCCTTTTTCTCTTTTCTCACACTCTCTCAGTCGTACTTTGGCCGGGACTGTAAATTCATTAATCAGTAATTCCCAGTTCATAGTTTCAGTTGGACATTAGTCTGACGTCTTATAAATCTTAATACTTGTTTCAGAACGATCAGAGAACATTCAAAAGTAACATTCAGAGAACATTCTAAAGTAACGTTCAGAGACATTCAAAATTAACATCAGAGAACATTCTAAAGTAACATTCAGAGAACATTCTAAAGTAACATTCAGAGAACATTCTAAAGTAACATTCAGAGAACATTCAAAAGTAACGTTCAGAGAACATTCTAAAGTAACATTCAGAGAACATTCAAAAGTAACATTCAGAGAACATTCTAAAGTAACGTTCAGAGAACATTCAAAAGTAACATTCAGAGAACATTCTAAAGTAACGTTCAGAGAACATTCAAATTAACATTCAGAGAACATTCTAAAGTAACATTCAGAGAACATTCTAAAGTAACGTTCAGAGAACATTCTAAAGTAACATTCAGAGAACATTCTAAAGTAACGTTCAGAGAACATTCAAAATTAACATTCAGAGAACATTCTAAAGTAACATTCAGAGAACATTCTAAAGTAACATTCAGAGAACATTCAAAAGTAACATTCAGAGAACATCTAAAGTAACTTTCAGAGAACATTCAAAGTAACGTTCAGAGAACACTCAAAGTAACTTTCAGAGAACATTCAAAAGTAACGTTCAGAGAACACTCAAAAGTAACGTTCAGAGAACATTCTAAAGTAACATTCAGAGAACACTCAAAAGTAACATTCAGAGAACATTCAAAGTAACGTTCAGAGAACATTGAAAAGTAACATTCAGAGAACACTCAAAAGTAACATTCAGAGAACATTCAAAAGTAACGTTCAGAGAACATTGAAAAGTAACATTCAGAGAACATTCAAAAGTAACGTTCAGAGAACACTCCAAAAGTAACGTTCAGAGAACATGAAAAGTAACATTCAGAGAACACTCAAAAGTAACATTCAGAGAACATTCAAAAGTAACGTTCAGAGAACATTGAAAAGTAACGTTCAGAGAACATTCAAAAGTAACGTTCAGAGAACATTCTAAATTAACATTCAGAGAACATTCAAAAGTAACGTTCAGAGAACATTCTAAAGTAACATTCAGAGAACATTCAAAGTAACGTTCAGAGAACACTCAAAAGTAACGTTCAGAGAACATTCTAAGTAACGTTCAGATAACATTCTAAAGTAACATACAGAGAACATTCAAAAGTAACGTTCAGAGAACACTCAAAAGTAACGTTCAGAGAACATTCTAAAGTAACATTCAGAGAACACTCAAAAGTAACATTCAGAGAACATTCAAAAGTAACGTTCAGAGACATTGAAAAGTAACGTCAGAGAACATTCAAAAGTAACGTTCAGAGAACATTCAAAGTAACATTCAGAGAACATTCAAAAGTAACGTTCAGAGAACACTCAAAAGTACGTTCAGAGAACATTGAAAAGTAACATTCAGAGAACACTCAAAAGTACATCAGAGAACATTCAAAAGTAACGTTCAGAGACATTGAAAAGTAACGTTCAGAGAACATTCAAAAGTTACGTTCAGAGAACATTCTAAATTAACATTCAGAGAACATTCAAAAGTAACGTTCAGAGAACATTCTAAAGTAACATTCAGAGAACATTCAAAAGTAACGTTCAGAGAACACTCAAAAGTAACGTTCAGAGAACATTCTAAAGTAACGTTCAGAGAACATTCTAAAGTAACATTCAGAGAACATTCAAAAGTAACGTTCAGAGAACACTCAAAAGTAAAGTTCAGAGAACATTCTAAAGTAACATTCAGAACACTCAAAAGTAACTTCAAGAACATTCAAAAGTAACGTTCAGAGAACATTGAAAAGTAGCGCTCAGAGAACATTCTAAAGTAACATTCAGAGAACATTCTAAAGTAACATTCAGAGAACATTCAAAAGTAACGTTCAGAGAACATTCTAAAGTAACATTCAGAGAACATTCAAAAGTAACGTTCAGAGAACATTCTAAAGTAACGTTCAGAGAACATTCGAAATTAACATTCAGAGAACATTCTAAAGTAACATTCAGAGAACATTCAAAAGTAATGTTCAGAGAACATTCTAAAGTAACATCAGAGAACATTCAAAAGTAACGTTCAGAGAACATTCAAAAGTAACATTCAGAGAACATTCTAAAGTAATGTTCAGAGAACATTCTAAAGTAACATTCAGAGAAACATTCTAAAGTAATGTTCAGAGAACATTCAAAATTAACATTCAGAGAACATTCTAAAGTAACATTCCAGAGAACATTCTAAAGTAACATTCAGAGACATTCTAAAGTACATTCAGAGAACATTCTAAAGTAACATTCAGAGAACATTCCTAAAGTAACATTCAGAGAACATTCTAAAGTAACGTTCAGAGAACATTCTAAAGTAACATTCAGAGAACATTCTAAAGTAACATTCAGAGAACATTCTAAAGTAACGTTCAGAGAACATTCTAAAGTAACATTCAGAGAACATTCTAAAGTAACGTTCAGAGAACATTCTAAGTAACGTTCCCATAATGTTTGACGAGTAATAAAATGAAATATTTCCTGAACGTTCACATAACCAATAATGAAACCACTGTCTTAGAGACGCTTGAAAACAAGCACACAAGTATTTTACCCTGTAAACACAAGCGTTGTAAGAGTCTTGCTCTGGAAAAGTGCTGAACAAGATCTAGAAGTGCGGATTTTATTGCTCTTTTTTTGTCTCAGTTATTATTGATGAATATACAAACAATTTTTTTTTACTATCTTTTATATATTAAAGGCATATTAGCATCATGCTTTTACCTGTTTTCACAATACAACTTTTAACACACTTTAAAATAATTGTACTTTAGTATATTTTGTAAATATATATTTTGAAAAATATACTTGAAGTGAAAATTCTGTTTATTAAGTGTATTTATTTGCACTTAAAAATATATTTGAGGTATATTTTTTAACTGTGTGCTGGAAATGATCATTGTATCAATGCATTGAAAGTGTACTTACAAAGTACATTATAATATACAATTAGTATATTGTAGCTACAAAGTATAGCTAAGTAATAATTGTTTATAATGTGCATTTGTAACTGAGACAAGTGTGCAATGTGTAGTATTTGGAATAAGCCAAACTGAGCTTTTTACTCAGATATAATACACTTATGGTATATTGCTTGTATGTTTTGAAGACACTCATAATGAATTTGTAATGTACTTTATAAAGTACACTTTTATTATCACTAATCAAGCATGTAATTAGTCCCTACACTGGCATACACTTAAAGTATACTTGAAGTTGTTCCAATTTAGCTCACAAAAATACACTAAACACACTTAAAGTTATGCTTTACTACAATTTAAGTACAACTAAACATACTAAGTACAAAATTAGTTTAGCACACTCAAGTTAACTAATCATT